GAGGCCAGCCTGAGCAAGAGCGAGACCCCGTCTCTACCACAAATAGAAAGAAATTATCTGGACAACTAAAAATATATATATTGGGAGGCCGAAGCAGGCGGATTGCTCAAGGTCAAAAGTTCAAAACCAGCAAGAGCGAGACCTCTTCTCTACTATAAAAAAAAATAGAAAGAAATTAATTGGCCAACTAATATTTACAGAAAAAATTGGCCGGGCGTGTTGGCGCACGCCTGTGGTCCCAGCTACTCGGGAGGCTGAGGCAGGAGGATCGCTGGAGCCCAGGAGTTTGAGGCTGCTGCGACCGAGGCTGACGCCACGGCACTCGCTCTAGCCTGGGCAACAAAGGGAGACTCTGTCTCAAAAAAAAAAATATGTATATATATATAAGTTAGCCGGGCGTGGAGGTGCACGCCTGTCGTCCCAGCTCCTCGGGAGGCCGAGGCAGGAGGCTCGCTTGAGAGCCCAGGAGTCGGAGGCCGCTGCGGGTGAGGCCGTGTCTCCGGAGATGAATGAAGTGCAGAGCGGACGGAAGCGGCGTCGGCCTTGCCCCTGCCCGGCGGTGGCCGCGTCTGCCGCCCGCCCTCCGTCCGCTCCTTCCCTCCGTTGTCTCAGTGTCCTTGGGCCGTGCGCTGGGGTCCCGGTCCCGGGTGGGCGTCTCCATCCGTCGTCTCGGTGTCCTTGGGCCGTGCGCTGGGGTCCCGGTCCCACCGGCGGGTGACCGTCTCACATCCCGTCGTCTCGGTGTCCTTGGGCCAGTGCGCTGGGGTCCCGTCGGGTGGCGTCCCATCCGTGTCTCGGTGTCCTTGGCCGTGCGCTGGGGTCCCGGTCGGGTGGCGTCTCCCATCGTCGTCTCGGTGTCCTTGGGCCGTGCGCTGGGGTCCCGGTCCCGGGTGGGCGTCTCCATCCGTCGTCTCCGTGTCCTTGGGCTGCGCTGGGTCCGGTCCCGGGTGGCGTCTCCATCCATCGTCTCGGTGTCCTTGGCCGTGGCTGGGGTCCGGTCCCGGGTGGGCGTCTCCATCCGTCGTGTCAGTGTCCTTGGGGCCGTGCGCTGGGGTCCCGTTCGGTCGGCGTCTCCTTCATCGTCGTCGGTGTCCTTTGGGCCGTGCGCACTGGGTCCCGGATCCCGGTGGCGTCTCCATCCGTCCGTCTCGTGTCCTTGGGCCGTGCCGCTGGGGTCCGTCCCGGGTGGGCGTTCTCCATCCGTCGTCTCGGTGTCCTCGCCGTGCGCTGGGGTCCGGTCCCGGGTGGGCGTCTCCATTCCGTACGTGTCAGTTCCCTTCGGGCCCGTAGCGCTGGGGTCCCGGATCCCGGGTCGGCGTCTCCTTCCATCGTCTCCGGTGTCTTGGCGTGCGTGGGGTACCGGTCCCGGGTAGGGCGTCTCCATCCGTCGTACATCAGGTGTCCTCTGGGCCGTGCGCTGGGGTCCCCGGTCCGGGTGGGCGTCTCCATCCGTCGTCTCGGTGTCCTTGGGCAGTGCGCTGGGTCCCGGTCCCGGGTGGACGTTCCATCCTCGTCTCCGGTGTCTTAGGGCCAAGTGCGCTGGGGTCGTCGGGTGGCGTCTCACCCTCGTCTCGGTGTCCTATGGGCCGTGCACTGGGGTCCCGGATCCCGGTGGCGTCTCCAATCGTCGTCTCGGTGGTCCTTGGCACGTTGCCTGGGGTCCGGATCCCGGGTGCGCTCC